CACAGCACGCGGAGCAGAGACAAGACGCTGGCAACTCTGCGCTCTGTCCTTGTCCACAACAAAAGCAGCACGAGGCAGGAAAGTGGTGTCATGGGGTGCCTGAGCCATGGCACACAGCACAGATGGCACAGATGCAGGAGTGAAGCAGGGAAAGGACCAGGAGCAGCTGGGTACTGACCTCTCGAAGATCTCTTGTTCTGCACGCTGGGGACAAGGAGAGAGAGAGTCATCACAGCTGAAATCCCCACAGATGACATCCCAAACACAGCAAACCGGGGACCCAGGGAGCAGTTCCCCTTCCTGACCCAGAGAAGCCACCCTTCACCCCAACACCAGCCCTAGGAAAGAGGGGAGCACCCAACACCCATTTTCTTCAGCTGCAGCACTTCCCACTTCCCAACTCAGAAAATGAGTGGGAATAMCTGATGGCAATACATTGCACATGTGGTTGAGGCACTGTCTGCTGTCCTCTCTGCCCCACCCCACTAGGGCACATTGCAGGTACAGYCTGTGCTCCCAGCAAACAACCCCAGGGCTTTCAGCATAGGGGAGAGGCTGCAGAGGGACAAAGCCAAGAGTTGGGTGACCCTGTGGTCAGTCCCACTTGATTCTATACCTGCTGGCCGCAAGGCATTCTCAAGATACAGCAAAGTGATAAGAAAATACCTGATCCCTGCTCAAATCTGAGCAGCAGAGTGCTCTGCATGCCTTTGGCTTTTCTGTGGCGTGGTACATGTTGGTTCCAGATAGACACAAGTGCCAACACCAACAATCCAAGTGGAGAACACATGATCCCCTAATTCCCCTCCAYTATGTGGCAAAAGGAGAAACCGAGGGTGTGGCTGTTCTCTGCTACAGGCAGCTGATGAATCCTGCTCTCCAACCTCTCCTCTTTATGGTGCAGCTACAGCCCAGCATATCAAGGTGCTGGGGCAGGACAGGAAATGTCTTTCCTTTCAAAGGAACATCTTTCCTCTTTCCATGGGATCAGGTCTGTTTTCCAAGCTGAGCTGCTGTTCACCTCCTCACAAAGATACATGTGGGAAGAAGAGGCTGAGCACAGTGGTGCAAGGCAGACCTGCTCACATCTRAAATGAGAGGAACTGCCTGGGTGACCCCAGACCATTTAATAACCAGAGAAGGAACTGAGCAAGGGGAAGTTCAGGCTGCTTTTCACAGCAAATACCCCTAACGGGCCTATGCCAGGCAACACAGGGGACTTTCCAAAAGAGCTGCAGGTGCTTCTGAGGGTCAGTTTTGATTAAAACGGCACACCATACAAATGGTTGGCACAATTAACTGCTCTAAGAGCRGCTCTCAACCCAAAGCTGTCCTGGCTGTCCAGCCTAAGGGCAGCTACAAGCCCAGAGCTGGAGACCTGAGCCTGGGTGGTTCTGGACCTCACTGCAAGCAAGAGCAGGATCAGGCAGAGCAGATGCTCTATGAAGCACCAGGAAACCACAGGGRCTTATTAGGACCAAGTCAAGGAGGTTCTCTGAGCTAGAGCTGCAAATGTATGTCCTGTCCACCTCTGCCTCCCTGCTGTCAGCACAGCAGCTGCTGATCACTGCATTTCAATCCCGTAACAAAAAAGTCCAGGTCACCTGTGGGCTGCCTCAGCACACAGAGCAGTACTCACCAGCAGGCCCTGGTCATCCAGGTTGGTGATCATGTCCACCAGGTAGGTGCGGAGGGCGCCCAGCTTGTGCAGAGCCTCTGTCCAGTGCACCTGCTGCGTGAGGATGCTCTGGTGGGCTCGTTCCTCCTCCGCATGCACCTTCTCCAGCAGCCGCTGCTCCTCGTTCTCACACGCCTTGCCCACAAAGAGCAGCCTCTGGACCACCAGCTCCCGCGCCGCATGGGCTGCACTCTGTCACGGCAAGGACACAGGAGGAGCATCAGCCTGGATCCAGCCCCAAGAGGGCACAGGAGGAGTATCAGCCTGGATCCAGCCCCAAGAGGGCACAGGAGGAGCATCAGCCTGGATCCAGCCCCAAGAGGAGCCCCAGCTCCTTCTGTTGGTTCTCCATGGGCTCGCTCAGCCACTAGTGCTACTCTGTTAACTGAGCCCAGGCCACAGCAACTGGCATGATACCAGTCCCAAACCTGCCCATTGCCTCCTCAGCCAGTCCTGGTTAGTGACAGCCTGCGAGGGACCAGAGTCCTTTCCCCCAGTAAATCTCCATGGATTCACTATTGRTGAGAAACATGAGAACAGGCTGAGGGAGCTGGGGCTGCTCAGCCTGGAGAAGAGAAGGCTCYAGGGAGAATTTAGRRCCCCTTCMAWTGCATAAAGGGTCTCCAACAGAGCTGGAGAGGTGCTTGAGACAAGTGCCTAGAGAAACAGGACAAGCAGGAAAGGCTTCCCACTGAACAGAGGGCTGGGRSAGATGRGATATTGGGAAGAAATTCTTCCCTGTGAGGGTGGGGAGGCCTTGGTGCAGGGTGCTAAGAGAAGCTGTGGCTGCCCCTGGTTCCCTGGAAKTGTCCAARGCCAGGYTGGACGGGGCTTGGAGCAACMTAGGATAGTGGAAATTTTCCCTGCCCATGGTAGAGGGATGGAACTAGGTGGTCTTTAAGATCCCTTCCAACCCAAACCAGTCTGGAATTCTATGATTCTATCACTGTTCTTTGTCCTCATCCTMAATGACAGCAAGGAACAAATAAAACCAGGAATTCTAAGGCACGATCCTGGTGGGATGCTTGATTGCTGTATATTCACACAATTGCCTGTGCAGATTTTTTAGGCAAATGAAGCAGGAATTGCAGGCACACCCTGGCACCTGATTTCTACAGCTGTGGGATAGGAGTGGGCAACACCTGCATTCCAAAGAGCCCTTTCAGAAGCTGAGCCAGGAATGGCGAGCAGAGAGCAGGCGGGACCAGCCGCATGGACTCACCAGGACGCCCTGGTCCTTGGCAGGCAGCACCTCATCCACGTGCCGGGCGATGGCTGCGCTCTGCAGCTGGAGCCGCTCGCACCGGTCCACGAGCTTGTTCTGGGGCACGAAGCAGCACAATGATGGATGTGGGCCGGGACGGAGCCCCAAGCCCCGCGACAGCCACCCCACACCCACACCCACACCCCCCGGTCCTCCTGCACTGCCCTACAGAGAGCCCCTTCCCCATGGGGAGCCCCTCACATGGCCCCACACCCCATCGGGGCCCCCCACAGCCCCACATCTGCCGGGAGCCCCACCCATAGCCCCCATCCCCAACCYTGGGTGGGCCCACACCCCCCCAGGGGTTCCCCAGAGAACCCAGCTCGCCACGGGAACCACCCCCATGGCCCCACACCTGCCAGGGACCCCCACGGCCCTACAACCTCCCAGAGTCCCCACACACCGTCCGGGACCTCCACACCCTGCCAGAGACCCCCAGGGTCCCACAGCCCACAGGGCACCCCCACACCCCCTGTGGTCTCGTACCCGCACAGAAATCCCCACGTTCCCCCACGACCCAAAACCCACAGGGACCCCCACGCTCCCTCAGGGAGCCGCACACCTCCCCAGGGACGCCCACATCCCTCCACGGTCTCACAGCCCCCAGGGACGCCCATACCCACCGGGAGCCCCTCACAGCGCCACACCCGCCCGTCCCTCGCGGCCCCCGGGCTCCCCTCAGCCCCGCGCGGCCCCAGGCTCCCCTCAGCCCCGGGCTCCCCTCAGCCGCTCACCCGCAGCCGCTCCGCCCGGGCCATGCTGTGCCCGCACCTGCCGCGGGGGTGGCGGCCCCGCCCGGCCGCGCTCGGCGCTCCCCGCTCGGCTCCGCCCCGGCCCGGGAGCCGGCAGCCAGGAGCCGGGAGCCGGGAGCAGGGAGCGGGCGGCGGCTCGGGCGGGACGGCTCCGGGGCCGGTGAGTGCGCGGCGGGGCCGGGCCTGGGCTGGGGCTGCCTCAGAGCAGGGACGCGTTTGTTCCCAAACCTTTCCGAGGCCGCGCCCGTCTCGTCCCTGCCAGGCTGCCACACATGGCCCAGGAGGGGATCCCCAGCCGCGGGAACCCGGGATGATCCCACTGACCCCACAGGGCCACCCCCATCCATAGGGACACGGGATGATCCCCCTGACCCCCCACAGGGCCATCCCCATCCATAGGGACCCGGGATGATCCCACTGACCCCACAGGGTCACGCCCATCCATAGGGACCCGGGATGATCCCACTGACCCCACAGGGAGACCCCCATCCATAGAGACACGGGGTGATCCCACTGACCCCACAGGGCCACCCCCAGTCACAGACAGCTGCCACCACCATTTTAGGGTTACCTCCAGCTCTAGGAAACCAGGATGTCCCCCATCCTCCCCAAAGCTGGTCCAACACCCTGCTCAAAGGGATGYTCATTCCCCCATGAGGATGGAGCAGCTCTGCTGTGGTCCCTGTGCTGCTGCTGTGGCTGTTTTCATTCCCTATCTCATGGTACAGGTTTCACTGCAGAGCCTGGACAGGTGGAGGCAGCAGTGTGGCTTATTTTTTAAAAGCAATTCAATTAAAAATGTGCTTGATTTCTGTCAAGCAATGCATTTGGGGGGGAAGGGAGGATAAGGGGATCCTCCAGCGTGAAACTCTGGCTCCTGGAGGTTAAGCTTTGTGTGCTTCAGATTCTGTAGGATCCCTGAGTTTTTAGAGGTTTGTGGTGGAGCAGGTACTGGATAAACGCGTGTTGGGATAGAGACAGCAAAATCTTGTATGGAAATCCTGCCTGAGTGCTGTTCTCATCCAGCGGGCAGAAAAATCTCTTTTTCCTTGCAGTGGGGACGAGGCAGGACCCAGTGAGACACAGGACAGAGCTCCCACCTTCCCTGCAGCCTCCCGTGGACTCTACAGCTCTCTGTGAGCGATGTACAGCTGGGGATGGACATTAACTAACTGCTGCGTGGAAACAGTAACCATCACAATTAAACATTCCGAATTCACACTCAGCTTTCCCTGGAATCTTGTTTTGCAGCTTCCGGAGTTCTCCCACTGTCAGAGAAAAATCGCGTCCCCAATGGACTGAAACGATTGTGGCACTCAGTGTGATTGAGCGTGAATTGCCAAATTATCACAGCCCCTCAGCTGTGAGATTGATCACTCCTCACATCTTCAGAACATGCAAACTCACGGATAGAACAGCAGGAGATTAACTGGGTATTACTAATTGCTAATCACAAAGGCYGTCAGGGTAAAATTAGAAAGGGAATTTTGTAGAAACCCAGCCCCTTTTACTCAGTGCTTCCAGAATCTGTTTTTCACTTTTTTTTTTTGTGGGCAGAGCCTTCAAGCAGTTTTGTGCTGGAAAWAAAAAGCAGGTGGGGTTTTCCCCCTGATTTTGATTAGCAAAATGCTACAGCCACCGAAGATGGGGATGCCAACACACACAAAGTACAGACTAAATCCAATTAGTGTGCCTCAAGTTAAGCAGCAGCTAATTATTGTCTGTGACAATTCACTGTCACTGASACAGGTTTCTGCTCTGTCTGTGACCCATGAGGACATGAGGGAGGGATGCTGCTCCTCACCTGGGTGGGCGCTGGTGCAGGGTCTGGCTGTTCTGGCTTCTCTTGGGAGGGACAGGGCAGTCTGGCCCCAGCCTGGCCCCAGTATTTGCTGGATGCATTGGGTTATCCACACGGTCTTGTCTTGTCTGGAATTGGTGTTTGGACGTGGAAACTCTTCCCAAAGTGCTCCTCAGATCATGGAAAGATCACTTCAAGAAGTGTCAGGTTGTCTCAGCTGAGCTGGGGTTGCCTGTGTCTGCATTTGGCCCCACCAGTCATTTAACAAGCTTCAGTCTGAAGGTGTTTGCCTTCAYCAATCCCAAAACTGGGATCTCCAGGATATGTGGAAGTCCAGAGCAGATACAGGAYTAAGAGGAGGTATAAAGAATGGCAGGCAGCAGCTCCATCTCTGCTGTGGCCTCACTAAGTTTGGTTGTTTTAAGCTCAGCATGAGTTCCCAATAACCTCACCCTGCTGCTGGCTCCAGTCTAAGCCGGAGGTTTCACTCAGGACCTCTAGATGGCCCCTTCCCTGAGGTTTTTGTCTTATTCTAAATGAGTTAGGATATAGATAATGTGTTTCCAGCACCTTATCCTGTATGTGTACCAGCAGAACCCCCTCTGGATAGAACCCCCTCTGGATCGCTGGTGATGCCATGTCCCCTCACCCACAGGTCGTGTCCCCACAGCCAGTGCCCGAGATGCTGAAGTGACACCCACTACTGCCTGCTCCTTACCAAGGCTATGGGAAAACTACAGAGTAAAATCAGCTTCTACAACACCAAATACAGGTAAAGCAACACTGGGAGAGAATGTCTTGTTAATAAAKCAGGTGTGAGAGTGAAGAGAGAACACAAATGACCAGAGGATTTAGCAAGCACAGTGGTTTAGTTTCATTATTGTGTGTTTGAATCAGGTTTTCATTTCTAATCATCACTTATAAAGTCTGTTCAGCTTCTTTGGGGTGCTGAAATCCCAAATGTTGCTCACAGGAGTGGCCAACCATGTAACTGTGATGGCTGGGCAGAGCCCTGAAGGGGAACAGCTTCAGGAGGGGCTCTTTGGCCCAAATATCCAAACTGCTTTATTGTATCTTAGAGACTGTCGTCATCTTTCATTGCCCAGATGCAACGATTCAGTCCCTGTCAGCAAGGTGGGGGATCCCTGCCTGAGAGCAGCATGGGGTGGCAGYGGGGTGGGGACTTGTGGCCAGAGAGGTGTCACAGCAGACAGCAGCAGGGCCTGACCCATGTGAGTGACTATGGAGGCTGGGAGGTCAAAATTTCTTTTCTTCTTTGCACCAGCACAGAGGGAGCAAACATTTAAATATCCATCTGTTCTGGAGGTAGGCTAGATCTGCTCCATCTCCCTCACAGCCTCTCTCTAGCTTTCTTAGACAGATATTGTCATGTCAGATGATGCCAGGGGTGCCACCTCCCAGCCCCTGGTGTCCAGGAATGGCACCCTGACCTTGCCTCCCAGCACCCTGCAGCTCCCAGTGCTGTCCCTGTTCCCCTGCAGGGCCGATGGCTCCGTGGGACAGACAGGACCCAGCRGTGCCTCCCAGCAGCACAGCCCTGCTCACACCGACGCTGTCACCTCTGTGGCTGCTCTCAAACCAGACCTGTGCGTGTCAGGAGGAAAGGATAAGGTGAGGTATCTATCTATCTATCCCCAGGGGCAGGRAAATGTATCAACAGGTTTGAAAGCAAGGTTTAAATGTGAGCTTTGAACGTTTCTGTGAAAGGTAACTGTGTCAGTCTGTGGATTAGAGAGGAAAAATGAGCTTAAAGTGAGGGCATGCATTGAAGCACATGGTACCAAATCTTATAACCACTCCAGAGCTCTTATCACATCAAATGCTCCCACCCAGGCTTGGGATTGCTGGTGTGTCCCTTACATCACTTGGCTTTACAGAGAGCTGTACTGAAACATGTTTCAGTTTTTAGGAGCTGAAAACCAGCCGAACCTGCTCCCAATCCTGTGGACTATGCACAAGCCTTGGTCTGACATAACCAARGATGTGAAAWCTCCTYCCTGCCCTGCTCTCRTGCTGACCCCTGTCCCTGTCCCTGCAGAGTGTGGCTGTGTGCAGCTGGAGGTCCGGGGCTGCTCTGCATCGCTTCATCGGCCACGAGCGCGAGGTCACCAAGGTGAGAGCATCGGAGTCTCCCTCCAGAGTTGGAGAACCAGGGGTGATGGAGCACTGCTTTRTCACCCACACATGAAGTGGGATCAGGGTATTCTTGGCATCCAGCTGGGGACAGCTGGACTTGATAACACTAAAGGTGTTTTCCAGCCTTACCCATTCACGATCCTACAATAAAAACATATGGGGTTTTTCCCAGGATCCCAGCAGATACTTTGGGAAGCAGCACAGAGTGGTACCTCAAGGCTGGGCTGCAGGAAGCCTCACCACGGGCTTGTCTTCCCCTGCAAGAGACCATGTAGCAAAAGCTCAGGATGAGTTATGGGGTGAAGTTTTTGATGCAGAGACACCATTCACTTTTTTTCAGGTCTCATTCTGCTAGACTTGACTTTATTCTACAAATAAGCCATACCTGTTTGATATATTCTGAGAATACCCATACCATGTGCCATACCTGACATATTCTGGGARCARCAGGGCTYTAATTTYTTTTCTGAGATTGGGATGGCAAAGSCAAGCAGGCTCCTGGGAGAGCAGACATGCAGTGGGGGTGTAGCTGTGCATGGTGTGGCCAATGCACCTCCACTGGGGACAGCCCCAGTGGGTCCCCATGGCTGTGGGTACTGCAGGGACAAAGGGGACTTTGTTCACCCCAGTGCTCAAAGGAACTGCACTGGGCTCATTTGGTTTTGTAAGGAAGTTTTTCCTATTAAATGAATAGTTTCTAGGAACAAGATCTGAGAGCACCTATCCACTATCCCGCTCCCTGGCTCTGAGGGGACACGGGACAGTTGGAAGGCCAGGCTCTCCCCAGTCATGTTCTGGTGGGTTTTGGGCTGTGGCAGGACAGCAGCAGTGCTGTGTTCTCCCTGTGAAATGGTGGGAGGATCACCATTTTCTCCTCCTGCTCCTTGGCAGGTCACCTCAGCCCTTGACTCCAGCAGAGTGTTCAGCGCGTCCCGGGACAAGACAGTGATGATGTGGGAGCTTCATGGGACCTCGGGGCCAAGCCAGCACTTCCCAGGACATGACCTGGTTGTTACTGGGCTGGCTGTGAGCCCAGGTGAGGAACAACACACTCCCAGAMCCCAGGGATTGACTGTCAGCCTTCCTTGCCTTGTTTTTGATGTTAACTCGTGGTTGCAGACGCCTCCCAGCTGTGCACGGGCTCCCGAGACAACACCGTGTGCAAGTGGGACACTGAGACCGGGGAGTGCCTGGGCAGAGCTGCAATCTCCAGGAATCTGGTAGGATCTGCTGC